TTTGTTTGTTTGTGTGGGGGGGTCAAGTTGGAACTGACTCACAGTGACCCTAATAGAGCTTTCAAGGTAAGTAAGATATTTAATGAGTGGTTTTACCAGTTTCACTTCACCAATGAGTTTCTATGGCCAAGTGAGGATTCAAACCCTGTGCTCCAGACTTGAAAGGGTCTATAAGGGCCCAAATTTTCATGTATCTAACTAAAACAACAAAAAATATGATTACTTGTCATCAGAACTTTAAAAGTAGCTGGGATAAAAACCTCTGAGGCTATTTGTCTGAAATTCGGAAGGAATAATCCCCTCTGAGGGTACTACAGGGTCCCCAAATGTGTGCGTGCATGCACACTCTCAGACACATGATCTATTTTAATTTCCTTATGCTAATCAGTGTGAAGTGCAAAGATTCAGATTCAAATTGGATTGGATCAGGTCTGAATGCATCTGAACTAAATCAAGTCTGACTCTGAATCACTGAGTCCGGTCCCACATCAATCAAATGACCTGAGCTTAGTTAGGACAAATTTACATATTTGTAAACTACCAACTCTCTTAAGCAGCCTATTGTTGATCTTAAGCAGGGGCCTATTTTTTACTCTCTTTTTGCCTAAGTGGTCTAAAAAGAAACTAATATTCTATCAGAAGGCAAAATGACAGGATTGGGCACTTTCAGCAAGATGTGACTGCAAACTTCTCTTCCAGAAACCGGGTGGATTTGTTAGAAATGGCATGGGAGAGAAATATCGCTGGGGCAGAATCAAGAAGAGCTTTTTTTAAATATAGGCTCAACCTTGTTCTCTGATTTAGAAATGAATTATCATGGTTAGATGCAGCATGGGGATAGAGCAAGGTTGTTCCAGTGATAACACAAGCTTCACTTTGACTTAGTAATATATCCATCTGCTATCTTCCCCTCCTCTTTCTCTCACCCAGCTAGATTGTCAAAAGGGTATGTGACTTGTAAGTAATGTCAGAGGGGACTCACTATAAATTGTCAGCTCTGCACACCATACTGGATCTTCCAAAAGAGCAATGGGTAGAGCCTGGAAAAGTTACATTCTTGTGTTATAATTCAGAAATCGCCTTTCAGCGTGGTCATTCAAGAGCTTGGCAGTGTGGAGGCCAAAAGTTGAATATTTTCCTTTAGAAGCAATATTGCACAGATTCTCGTAATTAGATTATTCAGGGGCTCTTGTGACAAAATTGAGCCAAAGCAAATATTTTTCTAAACATTCGGCCACCAACCAAAATGACAATCCTGTGTTTAGCTGTCTCCACACATGCTTCTGTGACAACTTACCTTTAAGCAGCTGTAATGTCATGGCATTCTGCATTTCATACTCATGTGGTTGTCAGATCAACCACATATGTAGAATGGGAATTAAGGAAATATATACAATAATATCACCTAGTAACAAGAATAGAATACATTAGACTTTATTGGGGGGTGGGGGCATGGGAAGGTGAAAGGGCTGGATAGGGAAATGCCATTTTCAGCCCATAGACAAAAGTCAAAGAAAAGTCTTCCACATGTTGTTTCATGTTTTTTTGTTAAAGATAGCGTCCTTGCCTTTTAAATGTTCATTCTTCTGTGCATACAGACAGAAGCCAAGTGGGGTTCACTATGTTAGGTGATTTCGTTTTGTTTTGGTATTTTTGTTGTTGTTTTGCAGTTTACGGGCAGAGGGGCAACAGAAATTCACTCTCCATGCCTCAGTGACCAAAAATATAAGACCTACAATCTGTGATTATTAAAGTCAACAATTGTAATACTTTAATAAAAAGCAAAAGTGTGCTGCTTACATACCTGCCCATAGTGCTTAAAGTACTCTCTGGGCGGTTTACACCTTAATTATGCAGGCTACAGATTGCACGCCTTCCCCCCCCCCAGTGAGCTGGATACTCAATTTACCAACCTTAGAAGGATGGAAGGCTGAGTCAACCCCCAAGACTGTGTCCATTGGGACTGAACGGAGGTCATCATGATCAGAGTCTTGGATACAGTGCTGAGGTTTAACCACTGCCTCACAAGGCTCTAGTACTGCTGAAGTACATTGGCAACATTTGAAAAGGGTTTTAATCCACTCATAATTGTTCTGGAGCACCTATAAATCATATAACAGGTATTAAAAAGTAATTATGGCAAATGATATTTTTTCCCATTTGCTCTTCAGACTCATAATTGTTCTGGAGCACCTATAAATAATATAAAAGTAATTATGGCAAATGATATTTTTCCCATTTGCTCTTCAACATTATTGAAAAGTGAGCAGAGTTTTGAATTTTGTTGTGAATCTTTTCCACTGAAATCTTTAAAAGTCGCTTTAAATCAAATTGAGCCACTGAGGCATCTAGTCCAGTCCACTGGCCAGGAATGACTCTAACAGTTTCCCCATAGGATTCTTTCTGAGCCTTGGCAGGAGATCCCAGGGGCTGAACTTGAGACTGCCTGCAGGCAAGTCAGATGTTCTTCCACTGAGCTGTGATTGTGTCCCTGCTGAAGTACAGCCAAATGTCACTGTGATCCCAAATTCTAATCTTTAAATCATTTCACTGTTACGGTGATATTGACATCAGGAAAAATATGCTTAAGGTTACTACGTGATCCATCTGTATAGCCCACAAAAAGCTTGTGCCAGCATGAGTTTGTAAGGTGTTATTAGCTATTATATAGATTTGAAAATACCAAGGTTTTTACTCCTTATTCTTAATAAATGTCTTGATTGCAGTTGTTCCACTGAAAAACTGTATTTCTCTTTTTTGCTTCCAATTGAATTTCATGCATTTCTATAATTCTTTCACTCATTTCTTCACTTTCTTTAATCTATTTTTATTACTGGTCATGAAATAATCAACAATGTTATTCTACTGTGTGCACAAAAAAGAACATAATATGTAGATTAGGTATGCCTGCTTTTAATTCTCATTAAGTTTGTTGTCAGTTTCAAATTTTCATGTGAGGTGCCATCGAAAGAGTTTGTTAAAGGTTATCACAAAACATAATTGTAATTGCTCTGTTTGGTCATTAGAAAAATATTCTGTTGCGCTGTATTTTGATGAACCAAAGCCTGCTTATTCCCTTGTGTCTGTTCATTTTCTTAAACCAACACTATGTTGACACAGATATTTAGTATGTATAGAAGAGATATTTGTTCAGCATCTGGAAATTGCAGATTTCCCTGCGGGAGTTCATCATGTTTTCTCCCCTTTGACATTTTTATACCTGGCAAAGGTATTCAGAAGGATTTTTGACTTCTGACATACAAGTCACTAGTTAGCACTGATGCCGCCAGGACCATTCCTATTGCTTTGTGCTGTTTGTATAAGGTGCCCATTTATGGATGTCTTGTTCTGTCTTCTGCTGCTGCTTTATAACAAGCGATTTATTATCTGACTGTTTTATGCTGCCTTGTTTTTCTAACTGAAAAACAAGGCATATAAAGTCTATCTATCTATCTATCTATCTATCTATCGAGCTATCTATCTATCTATCTATCTATCTGTCCATCTATCTATC